GGAATACTTACCACAATCCATACTTACTTATCCGAGGGTTGGAGGACTGGGAGCCCGGCTAAGATTTCACTGAGCTCGGCTTCCTGAACAAATGTTCTTAAAAAGATTACGTGAAGAGAGTTTCGGCCAGGAGAAATTTTAGCAGGACTGGGTATACCGGCTTGCGCACCTCTTGAGTTTTGAATGTGAAACACTTTTCCTTTAAACACAGACATTGCATTTGTAAAGGTAATAGCATGATTTGTAGTGATATTTGGCATAAATACCACGAGTGATATTTCGAAATTTTATACTACTACCAACAAAAGGTTTGTAATTTTCACATGTAGGAATTTCTAATTAAGCTGAAATACCACGGCTCTAAGCCAATCAAATTGCAGAAATTTCTCATGTAGTAGTATAAGGGCTGAAATTCTACATGAGATAGCAACAAAATTCCATTTTTTAGTACTAATAAGTTTCTATCATGGGATTTAAAACCTCGTTTACTTTAAACACCTTTAAATTTTCTTTGTTTTTAGAACAAGTTATTTAGGAACAGGCACTTCAAGCTTTTGACAATAACCGTTTTTCTCCATAAACACGATATGATCTACTCTAATCTCAACATTATCTTTTACTTTAGGCAATGTCATATCAGAACAACAATACTTCAGACTTAACAGGAACACTTTCTCATCAAAGATGCCTCATTCCTGGCCTTCCAGAAGATACTCAGCACACAATATATGATGTAACAAACTTTATTTTCGGTCCTCTAGTTATGCTCTTGGCTTTTCTTTCACTCACAAGTAACTCCCTTATAATGGCGGCTCTGATACGAGTAAAATCTCTTCGGCATCCTTCACTTTTGCTACTGGGCAGTCTTTCAATAACCGACATATTGTTTGCGGTGTATGTCTTCGTTAAAAGTTTCGCGAGAAACATGTACGAAGCTTTTTGCTTCGAGGAAATGGGCGATTTGGAACGTGGATTTATCATTCTGTGTAATCTTTCTACCGTGGGTAACCTAGCACTTATCAGTAAAGACCGGTATTTAGCAGTAAGCAAGCCTTGGTGGTACCGTACTCATTTGAAACGATCACGTGTTCTTAAGCAATCGTCAGCTATCTGGTTTTATAGCTTCTTTATGTCAGCAATGATTTTAGCCTCATCGTATTTTACATTCATTCGTTTTCCAGTCCTATCATCAATTAGTCTGTCCTACATAATATCTATAGTCATTATATTTGCTTCTTATGTTGGAATATTCATCGCAAACAAACGCCACAGGCGCACCATGCAGCAGCACAGGGGCCAGGTGTCTGCCATCTTAGAGCAAGAGAAGAAATTGGCCAATACTGTAGGTTTGATCGTAATCGCACTCTTTTTTACTTTCTTACCAGGATTTATTCTACGAGTTCTAAAACTTCTAGGACTTTTGCGCACTGTAAATATCCCTTTAGGTCCTTTTCTTAGGTTTTTTCTGACTCTAAATGGAGTTTTGAATCCGTTGTTTAACTATGGGAGAAATGAAAACGTACGCAGAGCAGTGCGAGACTTAATCAGATACTCCTACACTAGAACTGACAGAGTTCAACCTTTCACCAGTAATGGCCGCGATCAAGGAAGCCAACCGCCGCCTGGTTAGCTCAGTTGGGAGAGAGAGAGCGCCGGTCTGCTGAGCGGGAGGTCGCGGGTTCAAAGCCCGGCCGGACCAACAGTTAGGGTCTTTAAATAACTAAGAAGAAAGTGCTGCCTTTGTAATAACATCTGCAAATGGTTAGACTTTCTAGTCTTCTCGAATAAGGACGAAAAATCGTAGGTCCCGTCTCACAGCACTTTCACTGATCTGTTGTTGTGGGACGCAAAAGAACCCACACCACTGTTCGAAAAGAGTTGGGAGCGTAGACCCCGGTGGTGTGGCCAACCTTTACGGGTTGTGGGATTGAGTAGGGATGGCACCTTGCATGGGACCTATGAGTCCCATTCGTGCCTATTCCCTCTGGGCAGGCCTGGGGTCCAGAAGAGCTTGTAAAAAGAAAAACAAACAAAAAAACCAGACACTAGTTAATCCTTCTTCCAATATGCACAGAAAGCTGCTAATATACAAGTGTTAGTTGGGCAGCCGCCTTCGTCCCGGACTTAGGATTGTGAATTATCCATCATTTAATGTAGATATAGACAGCAAAATGCGGTCGTTTGTCATAAATATGACGGTCATAGCCGTAACACTCCGTAAGAGCGAATCAAGGAACCACAGGTGTAAGTTTGCACACTATCCACTGTTTTAGTATATCCTCTCTTGAATTTGTTTATTTATTTACTCACTTATTTATTTATTTTGCAAATAACCTCTGTGAGCTTCTGTGAGAAGTAAAAAATTCTGTATGTTTGAATTCAAATAAAACATAAATATATTTCAAACCTTGTATTTTCAATAGCCGTGATTAATTGTTCAATAAAAAAGTTCTAAATAACTCAAATTAATCTTAAGCAACATCAGAAGGCTTATATCGAAGCATGGAAATTTTGGTGTATTTTCCGGCTTTTTTGTGATCCTGAAAACTAAACATGTTTCCTCAACACCTGTTTAAGTGCAACTTTATTCTAAATTTTAACTTTAAGCGCTTCTCTGTATATCTCTTAAACCGCTCAACAGAATTCTTTTTAAACCTTATCACATATTAATCTTCATAATGTATATAATAATGTCTGAAACTTTCATTAAGATTGATTTCCTGAAACACCTTGAAATTTCAAGAGGAACCTAGCCTACGAACCGACCAAAAATCCGCGTTACAATATTCAAATGAGTGTTTTGACGTTATGCTAATTTTGCCAAATTAAAGCTCACCATACATACCTCCATGGCGTGAACATTGTCAATGTTTTACATTCAAAATATGCAATAAAAGTCATACTAAAATGTACTAGTATTGAAGGCGTGTATGACGAGCATTAATTTGTCGTCAACAGCGCTGGACTGAAATGCCTTAAAATCAGCTTAAGGTTGCCACGATAAAAAGGGGTGTATAAAGAAGGTATTGCTCCGCAAACTCTTGAAATTTTACAGGCGTGTGTATAGTGGACATGGTGGAAGGCATTGTAAACTAAGAAAACCTTTTTTAAGTTACTTTAAAGCTTTTTTAATAATTCAATTAGAATTAACTGCCGCGTTGATAATGTCATAAAACAATTGGTTCAAGAACTAAAGAAACCTTTGGAGACCACTCAAGAGGCTAGAGTTTCACTATTCTCTTCGTCTTCGTGCTCCCCAAACATCCCGCGTGCTCGGCTCCATTTCTCGAAATGACGCACTTTAACGCATGAAACAATCGTTATAGTGCGACACTGATGTGTATGTCGAGTGTTTTAACGGGCTGCTGGACGCACACACTGGCTGCCTACTCTTACGATTAAGCGAAAGGTGCCTAGAGAACTGGCTTGCTCCGAGGCTATTGTTTACTCTCTCTCCTCTCCCATCTAATTTCACCATCACTCAACCTAATCTAATCATTATATAAAGCTCTTTTTTTATACTGAAAAACCAGTCAGCGTGCTCTGGGTGTACTGGATGGGCATTAGCTATCAGTTTATAAATCTAAAAGTTAATAGATTGATCTATCCTGATATTAAATCTTACACGCACAAGCTCAGTAAACGTTTTTAGCTCAGTAACGAGTTTTTCCCCTATCAAACTATTAATATTGGAAAACATGCTGACTATCTGATTATTCTAAGCGATGCTATCACATTACTGGGAAACCTGTTTCTCAATAAAAGTAGCGGGAGAGATCTGACTCTCGAATGGTGCGTCAGTCTCAACACCTGCCACACTAATTTTAGGTAAAGGCACATGCAGACTGTTTAAGCTGTTTGGAAATGCAAGTTGATAGCAATTTTAAACTTCGGCTCGAGCTCGCCAAAGTGTAATCGCGAACTATCGTTTTCTCCTTTTACAATTTGTATTTCCTCTATTGTGTTGTCACAAAGTTTTGTTTCATAGCTTATCTTCTCTTGCAAAGCTCGAAGATCCTTAATATGTAATTTACCTACGACACTCGGTTACCTATGGAGTATACCTCAGTCAAACCATTCACACTATTTCTCTCCCCTTTCCATTCCTGGCATTCAGAATGGGCACTCTCCCCCGAGCCTCGCGAGGTTCTGCGATACCCATATTTCTAGTATTTCTTTCGATCAGAATACCGTAAAATTCCGAAAATAAGCCTCTCAATATATAAGCCCCCCAAAATCGTAACGCAAAAAACCCTCCCTTAAATCGCCCCTCCGAATATAAGTCCCCCGGGGGGGCTTGAACTTGGAATTTGTCCTCGAATACAAAGCAAAACAAAGCAAAATGGTAAATTTCCTTCCCACTACAAGCCAGCTTAATCGATTTTGAAACGCAAATTTCCCTCCATACATAAACCCCTCTGAATATGAGCCCCTCCAAAAATAAGCCCCTCAAAAAGGTCCATTGAAAAATATAAGCCCCGGGGCTTATTTTCGGAATTTTACGGTAAGTCACTATTACGTCCGAACCACCATTTCTTCTACTCCAGCCTTGATTCAAAATGACCTTTCTCGGTACTTTCACTTGGTGCTGTATCCTATATCCTACTATTAGGGATTTACGAGGCCTTACAAATCTGCGTCAACCCCAAAACCTTTTCCTTGTGCTCTTGTTTAGACCTTTAGCTGTTGGTGAGTATTGTTCATGTGAATGGTCTCTGTATTGAAAACAAAACAGTCCAGACAAAAAAAATTAACAAGAGTAGTAACGACAAAAAAAAAACAATCATTTACCGACAAGTGTGATGCAAGAGAAAGACACTGTTTCTAATTCTTTTTGTACATTTCTGTTGCTGTTACTGCTATCGTACTATAATAATAATAATAATAATAAAAATAATTAACAATTTCTAGGGCGCCTTTTCCATGTAAATATGATGAAAAGCGCGTCATGATTTGCTACTGATCTTTGCGCCTTGAACGCTTAACATTTTGACTATAAATCAGCGCACCCACAGGTTTAACGAGTAGGCGCTGGTCCCGGAACCACCATCATTGCCAAAATCTCTCTCAGGACTGAAATCGAAGTTAGCGCTGTTAGCTTCTGTTACCCCAATCCCGTGATCAGCACGTGAACAAGCGGATCCGCCGCCACCAATCATCATTACAGCTCCATCACCACTACTGTAGTCGCACCAGAACCCGATATAATTGGCGCTTTGGACGCTCCCAGAGCAGGTTGACATCGTAAAGCCATGAGTCGTTTGGTATTGTCCGCCGTATTGGACCGCACATTTTCCTAGACACTTGTTGCTTGCCCAAACTCGGCCGTTTCTGAAGTTACCATAGCTTGTTATCTTAGATCTGAATGTCTGCCCGCCCAAGCAGTTACTTGTGGTCTTCAACAAAGCGGTTTGAGGGTTATCACTGCGCGTAATCTTGAAATGAGTTCCGCTGACAAGCCAGAATGCTGGAGAGATCATGTCAGTGTTGCTTGAGGGGACAGTGGTATGTCCATAAGCTACACTTTTATCATACCACCATTCTCCAGAGTCTTTCATCCAGTTTGCAGCGTCGGCGTTCGAGAACCGGGCCACCAGAGTCCAGCCCTCTCCATTAGTCGTCATGTCACAATACACCTGAAGGTAAAATTATACGGTTGACTGAGTTTGGAAGCCATGTGGTGGCCGGGCCCTACACGCTACAATAAAAATAATTTTAAAAATGGCCTAAAATATCTCCAAAAATGATCCCGGTTTCATCCGTCTAAAAAATCTCATAAAGTCCCCTAAAATCCTTTATCTTTATTTATAAAAAGGGTGACATAAAAATAATAATCGCAAGGTTTTTGTGAGCGACTTGGGAGTGCTCATCGACAACAATTTGACTTGGAAGCAACATATTAATCTTATTAATAAAAAAAAATGTGTGAAACAGTTTGCATAATTGCTAGACTCAGATTCTTAGCAGACTATTTATAAAGCTCCCCTTTCCTCTTATTTGTCATATGGTATTTTCGCCTGGAGACAAGCGGTAAAGACTCATACTAACCTGATTATTTATATGCGTAGTCAACCCCCCCCCACCGAGCACTTACCAGATCTGGGTAGTGCTTCTGATGATTTCTCGTCTAATGGCGAGTCAAATCCAGAAAAATAAAAACAGCTAAATAACTAAAGACGGGGATCAACTCTAGGTGTCCGTTTTGACGAGGTGTCCCTCGTATAGAGTTGTCCGTTAAGTGAGAGTTGGCCGTACGTATTTGCCCGATATTTCCGTGTTTAATTGAAACCTTCTACATTGTTCCGATTCAATAAAAGGCAATTTTTGCGTATTGTAGGATACGCAGTTAGCCGTTTGCAATAACAAATTCCAGTGGGTAAATTCCAGCGCTACTGGCCATGGCCACCCTTCGTATGTTCTGAAACAGAATTCACCACAAGTTACGCGATTTCCCGAATTATAGAAGGGAGCTTTAGCAACGGTGACGACGACGGGAACGGACAGGACGTCCAAAAAGCAAAAGTTTATTACGAAAAACGAAAACTTTGCACGTGCATCACGCTTTTTTGTACATTTCTTTACCGTCCTTGCACGACTACGACGTGAAAATGCCTAATTGCAAGTTTTATGGAGGACGTAAACAAGCGACGACGAATCTCTTTTTCTCTCTCTAAACGCGAGTGCGGTTCTCAAGAAATCAACTCCCGGGAAATTCTCGTACACTTGCCATTTTCAGCAAATTGGAATAAACGCGACAAAGATTGAAAAAACGAGAATTCATTTTAAAAGTGACGTTTTCGCTGCCCTTGCCGTCGTCGATGCTAAAGCTCCCTAGTTTCTTCCGACGAAGACATATATAGAGGATATTACATGGCCGCGTGGAGATACGAAATTTCTTTTCCAGTGTTGAAAAATATTTCGCGAGTGAGCGCAGCGAACGAGTGAAATATTTTTTCAACACGAGAAGAGAAATTCTGTATCTCCAAGCGACCATGTTATGTTCTATTTATTATATAAACACTAATGAAATACCAAACCATTTTGGTCTGAAAGGTTTCTTATGAAGCCATAACAACGGTGATATTTTCACATGTGAAGATAACATGTTATTTTCACATGTGAAGATATCAAGTTTTCGCGCGGAAGCTCACTTGGTATTTCATTGGTGTTTATATAATAAAATTTATTCTCTTAACCTTCATAAACTGTAAGAGGCAAACGAGTTAACCATCCATTACGCCAGAAGTGTCAATTTTTTTTTTACATTTTTAACTGAATGAAGCCGTCTCATAGGCCAGGTTGTACATTGCTTTCTGCTACCTTTTAACGACTGCCTATTTAATAAAAAAATCGAACTGAAATAATCTTGAAACTCAGCCGAAACGTACTTACCGGAATTGAGGAAGAACTTGTTTGAAGTTGATAAATTCCGTCAGTTGTCTGTGAATTTGCTCTTCGCACTGCACAGGAACTCGTGTCTAACGGGAGGAAAGAAAGACAAGGAAGAAAAGTAAGTAAAGGGGGGTGTTACCCTACTTAGACTGTTCACAACCCAGCCCCTATCTTTCCGTTAGATCGTCGAGATTGAGCTCACCGTCACTTATGGCAACCATCAGGTGTGAATTAAATAAAACTATTACAAGAGTAATTTACAAGTCTTAGTGTAGCTTTTGCTTTTTAGACACGAAAACAATGCGTACACTTTTAAAAGTTTTATTAAATTTACCCTTAAATTGGCCCTAGGAGTCTGCAGCCGGCTCTCCCCAGGGTCTTTACACCCTGTTTTTAGTGTCGAAAACGCTCCTCCCCAGTGGGGAGGAGCATGGCTTGACGACCCTAAAACGGCTGTGTGCAGCCAGCTCTTGAGGCCGCGAGTTCAAGTCCCACCCTGACCGCTAACTGGATTTGTTTTCCTTGTTTCAAGTTCAAATCCTCGGCCACGCTTGTGAAATAGCCAACTGGTTCGCCTCCTCAGTATCAGTTGGGTTTCTTATTAAATCAGATTTGAATTATTTGAACGAGACGCGAAGTTGACTCCCGGTTGCCGCATGAAACGTATACTCCTGACGATGAAAACAAACAGTTAAACAAACAAAACAAAACAAAAACAAAGTATGTTACAAGTTTCCAGACCTTGCAGCAGAATTTCGACCACATATTAAATCTCCTTACTTTTAAATCACTTTAATTTGTTATTTGTTATTTTTTTCAAGTAAAACGCAATACAGTTGATTCTGAAGAGGAACAGTGAGCTAAGGTCAAATCCGGTCTTTCCCTTAGTAATGTGCTCGAATTAGCGCCGGGGTTATTTATTTGTTTATTTTTATTTTTTTAATTTTTTTGAGTCAATAGAAGAGGGGCACTAATTCACAGGAAGGGCGCTTAGTGTACGATTTCGCTCACGTTTTGCTTTGAAGACTCGTCTAAGCCTGAAAAGACTGCTACTTCCGTGTGTTTAGCAAATACGTGTACCGCACACAGCTTACAAGAGACAGCTCTTGCAGGAAAATTATTTCCCCTGGGCCCAGCTAGTTGTTCGAAGACCGATTAGCGCCAACCCAGGATTAGATTTTTATCCAGGGCTAATTCCTTCTTTTCAAAAGCTTTTTCCAGGATAATTTTCTCGATTCTTTTTTGAGCATCGAATCATTTAATTGTTGACAAAAGAATTCAACTTAATTTGCTTTTTTAACCGTGGGTTATCTTAACTCAGCGTTAAACAAAACCCGCCCCCGGACCAGTGATGTGCCATGACAGTAACATCGACATACCTTGTTCGCACGTATTTCCATCTCCTATAAACCCGGCATTACAAGAACACGTATAAGAGCCAGCATTGTTCTGACAGTTGGCATTGACGTCACAAACAGAAGGTGAGGCACTGCACTCATTTATATCTATGGATTAAAATGGAAATTTGTGTTGGTATAAGATCCTATCAGAGCCATTTGTTGATTTTGTGGCATTTTTGGGCTTACTCTGGCCTGAGAAAACAGCCGATAATGATGTCTGGGGAACGAGCGTAGAAATTCCACACTGATCATGTTTTACTACCCATATCTGGGTGATGCTTCTGATTGGCTAACCCCTATTTCCCTCGCGGCAAGACCAATCAGAAGCACCGCCCAGATCAAAGTAGTGACACGTCATTAGTGTGAAATTTCCATGTTCATTCCTCAGACGTCATTTTGTGCATGAAAACTTGTGGTAGTGTCAAGAAATGTCGGCTGTTTTCTCAGACTACAGGCCTAGGTCCACTCCGGTTGTTAGACAAGTAAACGGTACAATCTTACCTGTACACGTGTTCCCATCTCCAGTAAATCCAGCACTACAAGAACAAACATAGGACCCTATATTGTTCTTACAGTTGGCATTGGGGACGTTACAAACGGAAGCTGAGGCACTACACTCGTTGACATCTATCGATCAAAACGGAAAATATTTAGCAATAGTCACTCTTCCTCAGTAGCACGTTCCTTTCCTTTGGGCGATAACTTTTTCAGCACATAGCCAGCAGACTCTAGAAATAGAAGCGCTGATCCAGCATTCCCGCTCCTTTTTCACGGGAATCCCGCATCCAGAACTTCTTTCATTACTATCCCGAAAATCGTTATCTTCCCCAATCCCACATCCGTGCCCCCTTGGCAAATCCCGCAGTGTGTTTTGGCCAAATCCCGGATCCCGGGAGTTTCTTTCCGGACCCTGATATAGCGACCCAGTGGAGTCTTCCCCCTGGCCGCCACCCAGAAAATGAAGCAAGCAGAAAGAGCCTTACCCAACAGGAACAAGGCTATATCGGGGTAAGCCCATTGCAGTTTTTTGGGGCGCTTGTGGCCTAGTTCAATTGTGAGCAAAATCAAACGCAAAGAATACCTTTTCAGCGGCTGTTCACCATGATTAATATGATTCTCGTGAGAAAAATAATTCCTATCAAAGCGTATTAGAACTATGTAAATTTAGATGCATTTTGGCATTTTTGGCAACTTTGGTTTATTGTTAAACACGGAAGTTGAATCAAAGGAACAATAACAAATATAAATGGTGCAATCTTATTACCTGTGCATGTTTTCCCATCTCCAGCAAATCCAGTGTTACAAGAACAAACATAAGAGCCTACGTTGTTCTGACAATTGGCATTGACGTGACATACAGAAGGAGAAACACTGCACTCGTTGACATCTGTGGACATAGCAAATGTAAGAGACAGTGTTCTTTAGTAAAACTTTCCTATCCCTTGTTTTTCTTGTTACCAGTGTGGCGTATACTCCAAGGATAGAAGATAAGGAGACCCTAGGAACGATTAACAATACTTCTCGATGTAACTGAGCGAACCACCGCATTCTAACTCAATGACTGAACCGTTATCCAGGAACACTAGCCAACTGTGTCCTGTGAAATATCTGTTCGAGGAAGCAAATAGATTGCCTAGAGATGTTTAAGCTTGACAAAAGCTAAACATTTCTACATGACTGTTCCATTTTTGAAAGATTTTCGGGGAGGAAAATGGGTTTTGAGCAATTGGCTCTCCATGTTTGACTATTATTCCTAAGAAAGGACATCCCCCCCGCCCCCACCCCAATTTTCTTCTTCGAAAATAGTGACAAAAAAATAAGAGGAAAATCAAAAAATATCTTTTTTCTGTAAACTCTTTCAAATACCATATAACATTTCGAAAAGTCTAAAGACGTCCTAGGATAGCCCAATTCTAGAAACTTAAAGGCATTGTAGATAGCCTAGTAAGGGAAGTCTAAGACCTTTGGAAAAAGCCATGGTTGGGAACCCGCTGTTAACTTTTGCAGTTCAAGCTGGGTTTGGACCATTTTAAAAGGCTTTAGTTACGAGATGTCGGCACACTCTTTGATATCAAGGTATATAAGTCAACAAGATAAAAGAGAGAAAAGGGAACTACTGTTTTAAGCATTTACATTTTGTTGTATCTGTTTGATAAACGAAGCACGTTTAAAAGTGTGCAGCACGAGTGAGTAACGGTGCAACAGACAATTTCAGAGCTGCTTCAAGCCTCTGTTTCAAAGTGAAGATAAGTGCGAATCTACTGATATGAAGATTTTTTATTCCTCTGCAAATAAAATGTATTTTTACAAGAAAGGTTTTGCATTAAGCCTCGTTGTGAAAGTGAGAATTTTTGGAACTCGGAAATAGCCTAGTGTTTTTCTATTCAAGTTAGGTACACGCGAGAAATGTGATTATTTTTGCAGAACCGTATTTGTATTCATCTTACCAGTACAGGTCCTACCATCTCCAGTGAAACCAACTTTGCAGGAACAAAAATAGGAACCAACGGTATTGGTACAGTTGCCATTGATGACGTCACAGACGGCTGGCGCGGTGCATTCATCAGCATCTGAAACAGGCACACAGTCAGATTATAAGGAATATAAACGGTTATACCACTTAATAGATAAAACCGAAAGCAACTTAAACTGGGCTGGTATCACGTCATTCATCTGAGGTTATGTTCACACTGTACTATACTGAACAGCTTTTGCGCCGGCAGGAAAATCATTCCCGATAAGACTTCTGTTCACACATTAGAATGTCACTTGATCTAAGCGCGAGTTCGGTAACGGAGCGAAGTGGAGCATAACATATGTGATTGGTTCTGTGGCACACTTTGGTGTAGTGTGAACAGGTCTTCGGACAGTAGCAGAAGTAAATAAGTAGAAAGACGACTGGAACGAAAGGATTGAAAGTGAGGATTGACATTTAGAGAACCAAACCCTCTCGGCTAACAGCTCTGGCGATGTTTGATGCGTGTGGACGAATTTTTCCAGTTCGGTGTCCTGGAGTCGTAGCTGTTCATGCTATACCGGAGGACTTTTCGAGTCGCCACGAAAAAGCTATTCGGTACAATGTGAACATAACCCTGAGACGATCTTTTACGGACTCGTAGAGTCACTGACCTTCTGTTTCCATATTACAGGGAAGAAGAATTATCTGGCCGGGTAGAACCGAATCAAACCAATAGTCACCACTGACTGCTTGTCCAAGTTCACTGGCTTTGATTTCTTTGCAAGTTTCGGCAGGTATCTCAGGAATAGAACCGAGTGGGACTGCAAAGCAAAAACTGTAATGTAGTTGCTGCGAGGTCTTGATTTCTGACCTCATTACAGTGTTCTAAATGCACTGCAACACGAAGTGATCTTCATTTTCATCTATTGTTATTACTTCTATTACTATTATTATTATTATTATTATTATTAGTAGTAGTAGTAGTAGTAGTAGCAGTAGTAGTAGTAGTAGTAGTAGTAGTAGTAGTAGTAGTAGTAGTAGTAGTAGTAGTAGTAGTAGTAGTGGTGGTGGTGGTGGTAGTAGTAGTAGTAGTAGTAGTAGTAGTAGTAGTAGTAGTAGTAGTAGTAGTAGTAGTAGTAGTAGTAGTAGTAGTAGTATAGTAGTAGTAGTAGTAGTAGTAGTAGTAGTAGTAGTAGTAGTAGTAGTAGTAGTAGTAGTAGTAGTAGTAGTAGTAGTAGTAGTAGTAGTAGTAGTAGTAGTAGTGGTAGTAGTAGTAGTAGTAGTAGTAGTAGTAGTAGTAGTAGTAGTGGTGGTGGTGGTGGTGGTGGTGGTGGTGGTGGTAGTAGTAGTAGTAGTAGTAGTAGTAGTAGTAGTAGTAGTAGTAGTAGTAGTAATAAATTGCTTTATTTGCATGACCGCATCACTTTACAGTATTGCAAAAGCATGTATATGACAATCAAAATAAAAAAACAAAACAGCACTAATAACAATCTAGAAAAATTCGGTTACATTACTAACAATGAATCACGTATTTTCATGCAGGAGGAGACAAACTTCATAACTAACTTATTTACATGATGTTCCTTCGAATTCATTATCAGTTTTATGCTTTCTGGAGATGATTTCTTGTCAAAGTCAGGTATTATTCGATTGATTTGATTAATAAATGCCTGTCTCTGTACTGAGTATTTGTTACATTGAAAGAGGAAATGAATCTCATCTTCTACCTGATTTGAGTTACATAAAGGACATAATCTATTTTCTCTTGGCAAATGATCGATTTGGTATCGACCATGTTCAATCATAAGTTTGTGATTACTTATTTTAAATTTAACAAAATTCTGTCGTTCGTCATAATGTCTTAGCTGGTAGAGATAATCAGATGTAGAATATTCATCTTTAAAAGTTTTATAAAATTCTAGTTTTTTTGAATTTTCGAGGCTGTGCCGCCAAAAAGATAGATATTTCTCTCTCATTTCTGTGGTATATCGTCTAATTTTATCATTATCTAGAGATTCAGCATCTAAACTGGTCAGATTGTATTGTTCAAGCATGTTTATGAAATTGGAAAAATATCCGGAATTATTCATAGAATGTAGATTCTTTGACATAAGGAAAGACTGTTTGACTATAGAGTCATTATCTTTGTTGTTGAGGTAAACAAAATATTTCATAATTTTCTGATTTATCGGGATAAGCAGCGGCAGTCTATCAAGTTCAGCTCTGCAGGCTATGTTAGAGGCCTTATTGTTAACCTCTAAGTAACGTTTACAGAATTTGAGGTGGATTTTTTTTCTATTGGGGAGCTATCCCATTTTTTAAAATCTTGCTTGGTGTACATTCCCCATACCTCGCTGTTGTAACTCAAGATTGGGAATACCATGGTGTCAAAAATTTGGGATGCAGTATTAGGATTAAGTTTGTTAAGAATTGTCCGCTTCCGAATACTAGAAAACGCGTGAAGGGCCTTTTCTTTTAAGTGTTCGAGTGCAAGTGTAAAGTTTCCCGTTGGAGTTAAACGTGTACCTAAATAAGTGTATTCTTGGACAATTTCAATTGACTCACTGCCTATGTTGAATTTGATGTCAATAGATTTTTTGGGGCGTTTCTGGAATATCATAATTTTTGTTTTCTTGGGATTAATTTTTAGCTTCCATTTGTCACAATACAAAGAAAGCGCATTTAAACAGTTCTGTAATCCAGTTTTCGATCTTGATAGAATAACTAAATCATCTGCGTACAAAAGTGAATTTATTTTTTTCCCATTTGGGAGAACAAATGGGTCAGATAAGGTGTTTTCGAATAAAAGTGGTAGATTGTTTAAATAGAGGTTAAATAAAAGAGGGCTTAAAATACAGCCTTGACGTACACCTCTGGAATATGAAAAAGGCTGTGTTTTGTTTTCACCGATTTTGATGGAACATGTCGGGTTGCAATAAAGACTTTTCATGAGGTTGTACAAGTTTCCTCCTATATTCGTTTTTAGCAGCTTATAAAACAATCCTTCGTGCCAAACAGAGTCAAACGCTTTGCGGAAATCTACGAAACAAGCGTAGACTTTTTCCTTGTGATAATGCACATATTTATCTATTAGGGTCCTTAGAGTGAAAACATGGTCTGCAGTGCGGTTTTCAGGCAAAAAGCCAATTTGGGAATTATGTAATATCTTATTTTCCTCAAAATACAAGTGAAGTCTTCGATTTAAAATAGAACAGAACAGTTTTCCAAGGCAACTAGAAACACATATGCCTCTGTAATTTGTTGGATCACTCTTGTCACCAGATTTGTAAATTGGGGTTATGAGGCCTTGACACCAAACATCTGGCATTTTTCCGGATTGTAAAATGAGGTTAAAAAGTTTGACATAGACAGGCATTAGTGGTTCGAGGCTTGCTTTGATCATTTCATTTCGTATTTTGTCAACAAATGGTGATTTCTTATTTTTCAATTTCTTCGCCGCTTGACGTATTTCCCTCTCAGTTATCTCATAATCGAGATGGTTAAACTGTTCCTTTTCGTGTTCTAAAGAATTTAGTTCCCTATGGATTTCATGTTCATGCGTGGAATTCGTCGGGTCAATAGAATGCAGAGATTTGAAATGGTGAAGCCATGATTCTTCCGAGATTGGGGCAGGAACATTTTCGTTGAAAGTGTCGCTCATCGAATTTAAACAATTCCAAAATGACGCCTTGTCAGGATTTAAAGCTAGTTCGTCGAGTTGTAATGTTTTTTCTTTGTGGAATCCTCTCTTCTTTGTGTCTAGGAGCTTTTTGTAATCATTCAAGGTTTTGTGATATCTTTCCCGCACTTCGGAGTTGAGGGGGTCACGGTGCTTTTCATTTGAGACTTTTCGTAATTCATGCCTTTTCAAGCGACTTTCACAGTCGAACCATTTCTTGTTGGATGATTTCTTAATACGCTTATAAGTTTTCTTAGCTTTAATTTTTAGGCATAGCTTGGAGCTCTCAGTTAGAATTTTCATAGCGTTTTCTAAGGAGATATTCACATCTTCGGTGTTTCTCTCCATATATTGTCTAATTAGAATTTGGATTGGTTCAGTAGTAGTAGTAGTAGTAGTAGTAGTAGTAGTAGTAGTAGTAGTAGTAGTAGTAGTAGTAGTAGTAGTAGTAGTAGTAGTAGTAGTAGTAGTAGTAGTAGTAGTAGTAGTAGTAGTAGTAGTAGTAGTAGTAGTAGTAGTAGTAGTAGTAGTAGTAGTAGTAGTAGTAGTAGTAGTAGTAGTAGTAGTAGTAGTAGTAGTAGTAGTAGTAGTAGTAGTAGTAGTAGTAGTAGTAGTAGTAGTAGTAGTGGTAGTAGTAGTAGTAGTAGTAGTAGTAGTAGTAGTAGTAGTATTGTCATTGTTGTTTTGTTGTTGTTGTTGTTACTTGTCCTCCGACCATCCATTTCAAGTTTGTTATGAAATGCGACAAGTGTATAGTACTTCAAAGTGCGACAATTTTATTACAAATTGCGACAGGTATTACAAAGTGCGATGATTATAACAAAGTGCGACAGAACACCCTGTTCTGCTAAGGCACAATTTCTCAACGCCATCAAGGCTGGGTTTGGGTCATTAAAATTAACCACTTTTGTGAAATGTATCCGTCTATACGAGATTTTTTCTCGCATTGGCCTGTAGAGAAAAACTTCATACTTTCCCATTCTTAGTACTTTCCAATTTCTTGTTTAGTTTTAGTCTATTTCCAAGCCGTCAAGGACGTATCGTATTAAAAAAAACTTGCCTGATTTTGCAGTTCTTTTAAAATAGTATCTTTTGTAGTCAGGAACAAAATTTTCAGGCCTGGCTTCCTTGGTCCGGTTGTTAAGTTCACACACGTCTCTCATGATGACATAATTAAAGCTTCGACATCTGATGTCATTGTTGCACGCCTGAAGACATTCATGGGGCGTTGATACCTTTATCGTTTTAAATATGTGTCCTCTAAGCATCTTGCCAAATATAGAGTATTCTCCATTGTCACAATGCTGAGGAATGACTTTGTAAATCATGTGACACAGCGTAAAGGGTAGTAAAATGTGGAACAGCATTGTTGAATCCATTCTGTTGATAGTAAGGATAACTATTTAATATCGATAACCAAATAAATTAAACAGTTTCTTGAATACTTAAACTTTGCGGCTAAAAATTCAACAAAAGTTAATGATTTCACAAGCTGATCAATAATGAACACATGAATAAACGTTTAACAGACGAGACAAAAACCTGCATGTCTCAGAATACAGGCAGCTACTGAATATATGGCTATAATTTACTTATGGCTATTAATTTCTTTTCTTTGAACTTTGTAAATGGAAACAGTACTCATCTAACTCTTCACCGCACATGTCCCTTGAAATACTTGACTTCCTCGTCCACTCATTTCTCATCATCTCCATTCTTATATAACCTCGCACTCTCACTACGAGGCCTTTCTCTTTTTCCTCCCCTCTCTGCAGTTGCTGCCCTCACAATTTTAAGATTTTAAGATTAACCTTTTGTATTTTCATAATTCATTAATGGAATTTTGAGGGCTATGCAAAGGCGAACCTAAAAGTCTCCAAACACCTCTAAGAACTTCTAAGCGAAAAGGGCGATAATAATACACCACAGTAAACTTGAACTTTAGGTCGCGATTGTCAGGCGCAGAGATCCATTATAGATTAGTACATTTCGCGATCCCTCGCTTCATTCATTCGCTGCTGTGAAACCTACGATAAAATAACAGTCATCCAGTTACTAGCTAGTTACAGCTGTAAACTAAATATACGGGTGAAGTTTCTGTATTCTTGAGAATCCTACTTACTTATTTTTACTATAAGTTAATTGATTTTATACGCAAGTTTGTGTTCTAAAAAAACCTTCTCCGAATAATGTATAAAACTTTTAAGTTGACTGAATTGCATAATTTATCACAGTTTTCATGCTACGACTGGGGACAATAATAAACATTTATTTAATGTACACCGCAATCTTCACTTCACAAATTAAAATTTCAAAAACGCACATTTCAGTTTCTTTCTTCGACACTGCCGGCGTTGGTTTTTCTACACCTCCACCATACCGGCATCGAACGTTGTTTCTATTCTGATAATTAACAAACTTACTTTCATGCATTCGAAGGGTATACGAGAAGAAGCTTGAAAGACCTTCGTCACCTATAAAGCAGTAAGCTAAAATTTACCACGCATGTTTGGTGTATAAAGGGCACCTCAGACCATTTTCAAGATCAGTGAACATCTCAAAATGTAGCGCCGTTCGTTCTGATAACTAACTAAAAATCTTGTCTTGCCGGCTGCTATTCTATTCAGATCAGGCATGAATATAGCTAAGTTAACATGAAAGTCCCCAGTATAAACAAGCATGCAGATCTGATTCTCACCCTTTTCCTGCCAAAGTCCGCTTGGCGTCAGTTCCTCAAAAGAATGTGTAACTAATTAAACGCAATTATTACCCGCCGCAGGAAATGAAACACAAGAGATTTTTAGCGATATAATTAATTCATCTTACCTAAACAAAGATGGTTTTGTCACAGTCCAAAATCGCATATCTCTAAAAAAGTAAGTCGGCTTCTCTAGTCTGGAGACAGATCTCGTGTTCGACGGAGTGCACTTGTTTACCGCAATAATGATATAAACAATTTATTAGCATTTTAGCTAAAAATACATTTTTTGTTTAATAACTCTTACTTTGTTTGATTTTCGCTGGAGAAGCCACAAAAGGATTTTCTCTCTATGGGAGGCTTTCCCAACTAGAGTAATTGCGAGCCTGAATCGACTTCCCACCGGGGGCAGAGACAACTTAAAAAGGTCTTTATTAAACTCACCTACTGTCATTTTAATAATCTATCCACGGAAAATTATGTTTTGGATTGACTCTCGTCGTTGAGGAAGTTCCAATAAAACATTGCACTACCATTAAATACCTTAAGATGCAATTTTGTATCCAGTTTATCGATTGCTGTCAAAACTTGATGTTGCTGTTATCATTTAGGAATGTTTGATATGTTTAATGGTTTGCCCGGTTCTAGTATTAAGCACAACAAAAATTTCTTATTGTCGTCAACAGAAATTTTGTCTAATTGGTCGTTTTCGTGACCGCATTGACCGAGCTCAGCGACTGACCAAAACACAACAATGGCTACGGCGACATTCTGGACTTTCAAATGATTTTCATTCATTGGCAAGGAGGAAAATGACATGGGTGTAAACTTTTGTTCTTAACAGGTGACTTACTTTTTCAACTCTCTGGGTGATTGTCAACTACACAACCTAAAAACTAACTAGAAAATTCTATAAATTTCATCGGTCTTTGGGTGCGGGTTTAGTTTTGCGTAGTGAAAGAGCCAATTTTTCAGTTTTAATTTAATCTAAATATCAAATTTAAATGTGTTAGTGTTGCAACTGATTCCTCTGATCAGCGCTAAACCGAGGGTTATGCGGAACTTTAAACAAAATTCCTCTTCCGAAAACATCACCTAACTGGGCTCAGGCTCACAAAGTATTGATGAACGCTTACGTTTTCTTAGAGACGAAGTCGACATTAACCCAAAATAACCGTTCAGAAGAGTCTATGGGAAACTGAGCTCTGCCCTGTTCTTGGGGAAAAAACCGTCGTTGGTAAAATATCTCGATCAATAATTTCCCTCATGCTGTTTCCATCATAATTGCCGACTTACGCAGGAATACTTCTCTCAATGCAAGCAGACGAGTCAGGCATGCCGTAGTGCAAGAGCACCGTATCAAGAACACGAGATAAAATGACAAACACAGCCGGTGGGTTTGATAGCAATGGTCACTCTTTTCTAACGTTTATTCCAGGGCGGACATTGTCTAGTCATGAATGCAAATGTAACACGATTTTCCACTACTGAATTCATCCTTTTCAGGTCATCTTCCCATTTATTAATTTCTCATCTTCGGTTATTGTATCCGGTATTAAACTATGGCAGAAATGAAGTCGTTCGTATAGCAGTGGGATTTTATTTATTGCATGAGTCCAACCTTTTAGCAATGAATCGAACTGAAGAAAGTGAAGGAAATTGTGGATCTACCGTCTGGTTTCACACACAGTCAGGAGGTTAACATACAAACAGCACTTGTCATAAACGGCATTCATACCAGACTTAGAATTATGACTGAAATAGAGAGAATACTAGCAGTGTATGATACCCAGGTTTTCTTGGGGCAACACAGGTAGCAATAAATGGGACTTGTGTGAGAAGGTTAGTATTAAGAAACCTTGGTCTTCCTTCGATCGGTTGTACATAAAGTAGTGGCCGTTTATCAAATAAAAATTAATGGTTCAAACTAAGTACATGTAGAAGCACATGAACGGGCGTTACTGAGGCGTTAGCCTGCGAGCAAGCTCTCCTATTTGGGCGAGTGAAACGAGTCTCGCGCGAGCGAGCGGCGAAGTATTCCTGCGTAAGTCGGCAATTATGATGGAAACAGCATGAGGGAAATTATTGATCGAGATATTTTACCAACGACGGTTTTTTCCCCAAGAACAGGGCAGAGCTCAGTTTCCCATAGACTCTTCTGAACGGTCATTTTGGGTTAATGTCGACTTCGTCTCTAAGAAAACGTAAGCGTTCATTGCGAGGCTCGCTCCGCTCGCCCAAATAGGAGAGCTTGCTCGCAGGCTACTGAGGCGTCAAAGTATGATGCAAGTTCTAAAGGTAGTTTAATGTAATTCTGGATTTTAACCTGCCGGATTATAATCCCGCAACAACTTTGATTGGTCCACGGTAAAATGAGCCGATAAATTAAAATTGTTACATGAGAAGGAATTTATTAAATGGAAATCTAGACTGCAGAAGTGGTCGTTTGTCATGATAATAACGAGGCCATAACAGGTTGTTGATGTGTTACGGTCTTCCACTTTATTTAATAGCTGTAACACTTTGTAAGAACGAATCAAGCAACCACATGTGTAATTTGCCGGCTGTGTCTTGCTGTCTGCTAGATGTAAAATCGTAAAACACTCGTTTACAAATGCCGATCCACCTCTCCATGCGCAGCCGTATAGGAGCACTGTTTGTCGATTTTAGCTGAATAATAAACACAGGATTTTTGCAATGTCTTGGTAGTTAAAACACTAAGATACAGTCAGCGATTACTGGGACTTGCTGGCTGCCTAAGGTTATGTGATTACTGAACTGGGACCAACTATCTTTCCGTGGTTACCACTACGCAGCTAGCAATATGAAAGAATTAATTTATTTTATTTTGAAAAAAGGTATTTATTCACTCACTTAGTCATATTAAAAATAATTCTTTATTTATTCTACACCAACGTCGGGATGGCTGACATGATTTTCAACTTAATTTACTGTTAACGGGGTCGTGACAGCACCAGGACTCTAGGCCGAGACAACATCAGACTCAAACGGATGCATATTTTTATCCCCTAAAAACTTTTCATCTGTTCGGATTTCCTAGCTGAAAGTCTAGTGACCCGAAAATTATCTACGACTTCTACCGAACCTGCTCTGCACTTCCCTAGGATGCTCTACGACTTCTACCGAACCTGCTCTGCACTTCCCAACTGAAAAGAACTTAAATCATCTCTTGTTTTTATATTTTACGCTTATCCATTGACTCCTACATGTATTAAAAAAATTTTCGGAACAAGAAATTGCCAGTAATATGTTCTATAAATAATGTTATATACTGTCCGGGAAGAAGCTCCAATATGGGCATTTAATTCTATATTTGACGGAAATATATTTTTAAAATTTTAGAGGACACTGAGCTAAAGAGGACGTGAGTTGAAGGCCTTGTGATAGACAGGCAATTGAAATTCGATCGAAAGACATTTACCACGATTTTAACGCTAAAAGGCATTCCGTTCAAGATTCATGAAAGTCTTTTAGGCATAATTAGCGGTACCTTTTTGTGTTTATCTCACTAATGGAAGCTCAAGAGACTATCCGGCGTATGAAAACTTAACACTCATTAACAGATGGAGAGAAAAATGTTAACGTAACGTTCATCTGTCTTAGTATGTGATGTTGTACCGTATACGACAGGGAATATATAACAACTAAAAAACTGGCTGA